ATGCTAGGGTTTTTTGTGGGCCTTCGGGCCAATCGGCTGGGGCAGCTAGCAATTTTGGGTCTATTTGGGTCGTAGCCCAAGCTCACACTACCAAAGATTTGGAATCTACTAGAGTACTAGCGTCTATTTGGATGGGCGCCAATTATTTGGTCTGCCCAGGCCCATGTGCTTTTCCAATTCATTTCATGCCCACAGTTTAGGTGAGAGGCTTGTGACCGAATCCTAAGAGAAGTTTTATTTGAGAGCCTTTATAATTTAGTGATTCTTTCTTCTTATACTTAAATGTTTAATATACTACCATCATAATATTTTCTGTTATTCAATATGCGTTGGTGCTAAAAACATGGTCGGTTTCAGAGCTACCAATTCTTCCACACACACACATGGATTAGGAGAATTGTAGTCATGGGTTATAGATTACAGAAGCGATGCATGTTTATTTCAGTAGTATTCATATATGGGTATTGTGCTTATGTTTAAAGATTCAGACTTCGACTTTAAGCATCAGGTAGATGATCTGACTCATTCTTACTAAAAGGTACAAAAATTATACCGTGTTGTGCGCAGATCTTCTCTCAATGTTTAACAATTATATTCTTATAAATAGCATTCTATTATGGAAATACTTGTTAATTGTTATCCGCTCATATGTAGATCTTTGAGAGGTTAGTTTACACCATCATGCACCATGTGCTATATTTAATAACGAATTTTATACTACTTTTAAGGTGACCATGCTAAAAGAATAATAGCTTATTATAGCATTTCTAAATTATGCTAATGTTGTTACCCCTTTGACAAGCTAAATATACCCAGACAAAAAAACTCGGTGTAGATGTGTTATGGCCATGAAAGACAATAACTATTAACTAACCTATCTTTATCCTCCATATCATCTAGCTTCTATTTGGTCAATCCCTTATCTCTACAACCTCTAAGCTCAATGGGTACTTGTGGCTGCTTCTTTTTTTATGGTGGTGTTCGCGCCTACCGATGAGTGATAACCTCTCACCCATTGAACTGCCCGAAATTGAAAAGCAACATTTGTACATGTAAACGTCACATACACCATCCAAGAGTCACACATATACAAGGCTAAATAGACCATCATCAATGGTAAAAAAGAGTCCGATAAGGTAAAAACAGCACAACAAGGCATGTGTCTGTGTCTGGTTTATCTGTACGTGTGATGTGTAAGGTTACTATTTTTATTCAAGATAGTTACAAGATCAAATTATATAAAAGTCCTTATTCCACTTTACAAATGGCATGTGCATATATGGTGAGAAGATAAAAACCTACACACAACGGGTGCTTGCCATACAGTGCCAAAAAGTCTTTCACCCGCTTTATAGATAAAGCATAACCATCGCACGATACAAAGTCCGGAGTTCAAAATAGGAAAGGTTGAAAAGAAAAAAAACTACAAGAAAATAAAAAGGGGTACATGCTGGGGGACAGCAGCCCAAAAAAACAATAAATCTGCATCATTAACTTGTAGGTCTATGTATCCAAGGATAGGAGAAGAATTCATGAGAGCGGCATTTTGGCACAGGGGAGCACGCGCTCCTGGTTTTAAAATGTGTTTTAAACATATTTTGAAATGTTAAAAAATTTCAAAGAAAAATTTGGCGCGTACATTTCAATATTGTACACGCTCATAAAGTCGTTTCGTGCAAAACCAACAATTTATGTGTCACGTGTGAAAAAAAGACAAAATCCAGTGTAAAAACAATACTTTTCACAAGACATCCTTTTGTCTTTTTACACAAGCCACAAAAAAGTCGGTTTTCTCCGAAACTTGACGTGCACACATATAGTGTAAACATGTATGCACCAATTTTTTGTTTGGAAATTTTTTCACACTTTGAATTTTTTTTGCGTCCAGGAGCGCGTGCTCCTGGGAGCACCAACAGATTTCCGAAGAATTCATGTCTATCTATCTAGATCTCTATGCAGATTAAGGGCGTGTACACTTGTGATATCTTTGAAGTGCCACGTAAGATAAATGTTGATGTGGAGGAAAGAGAAACTATAATAAAAGACTTGTCTTCTCTTGATTAAGAGATAGTCTCTCAACAAGAATGTATCTCATCACCTATTTAAGGATATCTATTTATTGTCTTCTCTTAATTATATGGCGGGCTTAAAATAAGACTACTTATCAACCACTGTATATGCCTTAACTAAGATAAGGTGCTTGTTGTTCCTAACTTACATGTCACTGTTTGTTTTCCAACTGCTTAGGTGGGGCTAATTATATCAATGCTACACGCACGGACTGGCTTTTACGTGATCAACAGACTGGGATACATGGCTGGTTTTGATTGGATGAAATTAAAGTGAGGGGCCCACCCCCACTGAAAATCAGGGGGGAGGGGGGAAGATTTGTTAGGAAACAACCCGTAAAACCCTGCAAAATGCCCGTGTGTATAGAATTATCGGGATAATTATGGTAATCTGATAAAACATAATACCCCATGTCGGTGCCAAAACCGGCTGATCTTGGGTAGGGGGTCCCAAACTATGCATCTGAGGATCGAAGGTAACATGAGACAGGGGGCACGATGTTTACCCAGGTTTGGGCCCTCTTAATGGAGGTAATACCCTACTTCCTGCTTGATTGACTTTGATGAGTATAGGGGTTACAAGAGTTGATCTACCTCGAGATCGTAATGGCTAAACCCTGGATGTCTAGCCTATATGATTTATGATAGCTTCTACGGACTAAACCCTCCGGTTTATATATACACCGGAGGGGCCTAGGGTTGTACAGTGTCGGTTTAGAGAGAAAGGAAACTACACATCCGGACGCCAAGCTTGCCATCCACGCAAAGGAGAGTCCCATCCGGACACGGGGGAAGGCCGTCTATCTTGTATCTTCACGTCACATCAGTCCGGCCCATGTCACATAGCCCAGATGCCCGGGGACCCCATAATCCAGGACTCCCTCAGTAGCCCCTGAACCAGGCTTCAATGACGACGTGTCTAGTGCGCAGATTGTCTTCGGCATTGCAAGGCGGGTTCCTCCTCCGAATAATTCAAAGTAGTTGAACAAGAGAACTATGTCCGGCTCTGTATAACAGTTACAACCCTCAACCACAAAGGCACAATACTTAACCAAAATAAGGTATGTCCACTGACGGTTTTTTCAGTGAAACGTTACGTCTGGCCTCTTTATTATTTTGAACCGTTTTCTGGCCTC